GCGGATTGGTTTGTCGCCATTGGTGTGTAGAGGATCAGTCCGCTCTTCGAGGAGAAGATTAGCGTAGCGCCGCAGGACTTCCCACCAGATAGAAGACAAATCAAAGATGAATAAATGTATTCCAAGAAGAGCAAAGGGATTAGGCCTGGGTGTGTGCTGAAAGCCAGCGCAAGAGCAGGAGAACTAGGGGAATCTTAATTTAACCGCTAGACATTACATGGTCATATAACCAAGTATCTCACTGCCTCTCCTGAGCGAAGTCCTCGACGCCACCCTTGATACATCTCCAGCGTCACTTATCCAAATGTATTCGGTAATACAAGAAAGCACCCGCGAGTCAGCCGCGCCAATCATCAGCACTTGGCACTTGGTCTCCATGACAGCTTCAACTGATCATGGAGTTACGTACGCTCTGACAACCGAATTCAAAACTGCATGCATTTGTTGACTAGACGATGGTGCCCTAGTCTAAAACAGATGTGTTACGGGGAAAACGAGATCAGACATAGCCCCGTATATAAGGGGAACCGTATTGTCACTTTGTACACCTATACACGAATTTTGTAGGGCAAATTCTGACTCAACTTTTCAGATATTCCACGGCAGTGTCGCTTCAGATTTTAATAGCTTGTTGTAGAACACAGGACAAGGTAAGGCCAAACGCAGGTATCATTATCAACCGGTCTGTTTGAACTAACTTAGAGATTCTCCCCCTTCCCCAGATGTAAATGTTGGGCCCCTTTCTGATGCTTCCAGTGTAGCGTCCTGAGACTTTCCAAAGGGTAGTAGAGAGCGATCATTGGAGATGAATACATCCTTTCCAGGGAGAAAAGAAGGACTAAGACTGAGCTCGCCTCGAAGGTCACCTACGCGCACAGGAATTGGACGGACCTTAAAGCATCCGTCAGGCATCAGGTGATAATATACACAAGGTATTACAGCCAGAGTTGTACCTGTGTGTCTAGATTATAGATATGCGCCTACTTCAGCATTCGATTGTTCCGTTTATGCATTCTTCGGCATTTGTCTTATTTTCATTCTCGCAGCCTACCTCTCCAGCTTAGTTAAAAAAAACATCTCTTTCTAGCCCTATTCACTCCATATTTTTATATTTTGTAAATGTTTATGCCGCTTTTAGCTCAGTTATTTTT